TAGAGACGGGGTTTCACCATGTTGACCAGGATGGTCTCGATCTCTTGACCTCGTGATCCACCCGCCTCGGCCTCCCAAAGTGCTGGGATTACAGGTGTGAGCCACCGCACCCGGCAGCTGTCATATTTCTTATTTCAGTTTTCTAAGTTTGCTATACCTTGTTTTAAGCAAATAACATTTACAAATCAGATTTATAAGGAAAACTGTTTCATCAGTGTAATCTTACATGAAATTAATCTTGAAAGAAAGGGATGTTTTCTCTTTACAAAAGCATCCACTAGAATTATCTGAAAAACCTCCATGATATACTGAAATATATAGGTCCATTTAAAATTTTTGATTTATAAACAAATCTTCATGAATACAATTTAAAATGTAAAGCAAAATGTTAGAACTCAGCAATTGAGTTTCTTCACCTTGCACCATTGGTGTGACAGTGTTGCCTTTGCTATGCAGATATACTTTTCCTTTGCATTTTCATGGGCTTTCTCACAGACACAGCCACCTTATCTGTACCCACACAAAAACACTCTGTTATTTGGTAACCTGCAATTCCCCAGGGCAGGTAAGGCCAAGCTCCCTTAGAACTGCCCATTTGAAAAACCAATGATATTAAAGAAGGCTCTTGCCATGGGTCCCCACTCCATATTTTGCACATTCTTCTACCATAGCACCCCTACACGTTTTAACCCTTGTTTATATAATTATTTCCTGATAAATATTTGTTGAATTAATTCAAGAAGTAACATGAAATCATTTTTGTGGCTATAGATGAGCATTGTACTGAGAAGAAGTGTTTTTTGAACAAAGTTGCTAAGAGTCATTTAACAGAATTGCGGCACTAAGCTACTAATTAAAATAAAACAATTTAAAATATATTTGTAGAGAAGCACGACTTAATCGAAGTTACCAAAGAACAACCAAGACATTTACCTATTGCCAATAGAGTTTGATTCAATAAAAACATTAATAAAATACAATATTGGCATGTCTTTTTCCAAGAATTTATACTGAAGACACTTACTTCTCAGTTCAAAATATGCTATACAAAAACCAGAACAAACAAAACAAAAAGCGAAGGAAATATAAATTGCTTTAGAATGAATGTTATTCTGTTACCTAACTGTATGCATAGGCTAGGGCAAAATGCTTGCACACGTTACAGTTTGGATGTTATATGGATACCCACACTGTCTTTGGGAAGATGAGATTGCTTCTTTTTTCCATTTGGGGAGTGTAAAGGGAAAATCGCACACCATCCTATGAGTGAAAAGTTTTCAGTGATCACAGTGTGCTTTCCTGTATGTAAGAACGTAGCACTTCTGCTGACCGAAAGAAGAACCTCGCTCTCAATACCGCTTTCTAACAATCTCTCCCAGCAATCGCTTGATCTTCATCAAAGACAGGGGCACACTCTGAGAAGATGTCTGGTTAGGATAATGAGCCCAGATTGTAGCCATGATCCAGTTCCTTGGTGTGAGGCAGCTGCATGACGGAACTCTAACTGGAAGCCTTACCTCCTCTGTTAGCATCAGTCACAACGTTGCCAACTAAAGTCATGAAAGCAAGCCCAACATTTGCCGCTAGCACCGGTGGGCTATGCGCAGGTATCCCTACTCTCCCTACACTCTGTGGGGACCACCTGGAGTTTCCGTGGGGAAACTGAAGCTACAGTGAAACAAAGTAATTAACTGACTGATTCAAACCTGTTTGGCTGTGTGGCTAATCTCCACAGCCAGATCCACTCCAGAATTCCCAATGCCAATTATAATGACTCTCTTTCCAGCGAATCCCTCTGGGTTCTTATAGTGTCGACTGTGGAAGTACTGCCCTTTGAACTTCTCAATTCCTACAAGAGAAGGGAAAATAAGTATCAGGTGATGGTTTACATGATGGATATCATTTGTCAAGTCGCTTGGTCTTTTTGCAGACTTAAGTTTAAGCACATATTCTCCAAGTGTTCTCTCTTTACACAGCTACTTTCTTGTCTTTCTCAATATTTTTGCCTATTTTCTTTTCCCATGGCCTCAGAGTGGGTATCATGTGATTTTCTTATCATAGGTACTTTGCTTAACTCAGGATGTGTTTGTATTTTGGATTTATGGACTATAAATACAAACTGTCTCAGAAAATCTCCATTCTATTCTGTCTTTTCATCCCCTTAAATACCTAATCCCTGGCCGGGCATGGTGGCTCACACCTGTAACCCAGCACTTTGGGAGGCCGAAGTCGGCAGATCACAAGGTCAGGAGATCAAGACCATCCTGGCCAACATGGTGAAACCCCATCTCTGCTAAAAATACAAAAAAATTAGCTGGGCGTGGTGACACGCACCTGTAATCCCATCTACTCAGGAAGCTGAGGCAGGAGAATCACTTGAAGCAGGGAGTTGGAGGTTGCAGTGAGCTGAGATCATGCCATTGCACTCCACCCTGGTGACAGAGTGAGACACCATCTCAAAAAAAGAAAACCTGCTCCCATTTCACTTACAGCACATATATTTTTGTATACTCTAGAGTACACAGAGAGTGACTTTTTCTTCCTTTAATGAAAATCCAGGCCAAAGACTGAAATTCTTCAAGCTTTCATTTCTTCTTTAGAAACTCAGTATTTCAGTTTGCTTTATTGCTGAAAAATTCCTCATTCAACCTAACGCTCCTCAAGAATTCCACATTCTTCCTTCTGATACTTAGAAAAACTAAAGTCATTGTAAAACTAAATAGACCTCAAATTTTGCTCTAATCTCCAAAAATTACAAAAATGGGAATAACACAAGTTACCCCAACATCTTTCTGGGGAACATGAAGAATTAGGATAAGTCTTATTTCATTCCAAAGTAGGAATTACTCAGACCACAGTCCTTCCATTTCTCAGGGGTCAGGTCACAGGCATGGGTCAAGGGTCTTCCATCATGGCAAGTTACTCACCAGGGAAGCTTTCCAGAGGAAGATAAGCATTGGTGTGATGGCCAGTGCAAACCATGACTCCATCAAAGACATCTGTCTCCTTTTTCCCTTCAGACTCAGTGACCACTTCCCACTGGCCTGAAGTTGAGAAATCAGGCCGCTTTTTCACAGTGCACACAGTGGTCTGAAAAGGAAAATGATAACCACAGGGGACACCCCTGACAAGACTCTCCTTGCAGAATCTTACACACAGGGCTGATATCACAGGCACGCACTCTCACATAATAGGACCCATGTAGGGATATTTGATTTTCATACTCCACAAATAAGAACTGTTTTGTTTTGGGCTGTGGTCAGAATCAGAAAACTTCCACGAGGCAGAAACAAGCAATAACATAGTGTTGGCAGGCTAATGTACCTTCCTCTTCTAGAAAAATGCGAGTCCCTAGGCCTTTCAGTCCGCGTCCTAAGGCACTGTAACACCTGAGTAAGCCTGGGCTTCTCCTGTGCTTTTTTGACACTCCATGTATCACATGCCTATTCTTCTCCTGACCCCCAAATGTCCTGAGACCTTCTGATGTCTTCTAACCCCAGGTTCTCTTCTCCTGGCTAACTTTAAACACGTGACTGAGATATAGGGCTCCTTTTCCTGGTAGGGTAGAAAAACACCTAATGGCTCTCATTTTATATAAATGAGTCTCCCTTTGACTCCCATAGATACCCATTTTACAAGGAACTATAAAGAAAGAGGCTGTGAAACAGGATAGAGGTATGATTATAGCTTTTTTAAAAATAATAAATACGGGTTACTCTACTTAGGTTAAGGAAACATTATGAGCTTCTCAGGGCCATGACCATAATGTCTTGGACTAATAGGGACACCACCCCGGCCTGGGCGTGGTGGCTCATGCCTGTAATCGCAGCACTTTGGGAGGCTGAGGCAGGCAGATCACCTGAGGTTGGGAGTTGGAGACCAGCTTGACCAATATGGAGAAACCCCATCTCTACCAAAAATACACAATTAGTCAGGCATGGTGATGTGCACCTGTAGTCCCAGCTACTCAGGAGGCTGAGGCAGGAGAATTGCTTGAACCTGGAAGGTGGAGGTTGAAGTGAGCCGAGATAGTGTCACCGCACTCCAGTCTTGGCAACAGAGCAAGACTCTGTCTCAAAAAGAGGAAAAAAAAAAAAGGGGAGATACCACCCCTGCATGTCTTGGCCATCCGGCACTATTTATCATGTTCCTCTATCATGTTCTTTTACACAGGCTGGTGCCTCTGCCTAAATTGCCCTTTTATTCCTTATTTAGTAGATTCCTACTCAACCTTCCAGACTCAGCTTTAAGAAAACTTTATCTCCTTTAAGAAACCCACCCTGGAACCTGATACTTTGTGCCTTGATGGGTTCAACATCTCTTCTCTGAGCTGTAATGTATAGATTTCTAGCATTTGTCCCCATGTCACTCTTTATTTTTATTTATTATATTTATAATACAATTTTTCTTCATTTTTTTATCTCTTTAACTAGACTATAAAGCTACCGATTTTTCCTTTTTGTCTTTGCATCTTCAATACTTAATATGATAACAAATTTGTTCGATAAGTATTGTTTAAACAACTGAAGAGAAGCACCGTTGGAATGTAAATGACTTACTTTAGAAGTTATCACTAGATGTTTTCATTTTGTTAATGTCGTTAAGCAGAAAAAGGCATGACTTAGCAGGATGATCACAAAGCAGAAGGTGCGGGCTTTTGGCCAAGTGTCAGAAACATCTGCTCTTTTATGCTCATGATCGGAAATTATAGAAAAGTCATAGAATATTTTAGAGCAGAAAGGAGCCACTGAAGTGATCTAGTACAATCATTTTGTTTTACAAACAAGGAAATTTTAAAAATTGAAATTGAGGAACTTGCTTGTCTAACATCTAAGTTAGTCAGTGGTAGGACAAGGACCAGAATTCAGGTTTTTGTTCTGCAATTCCACGTTCTTCCCTCTACACCAGAGTTAACTACCTGACAACTACACTTTGCTGGATTTTTATGATGTTTATGTAAACAAACATATTGGAAAGTACTTCTGAAAGTATAAAAGGGCTAAGCAGTCATGAACAAGTTGTAGAACCTGAAGGTTTTTAAGTTCCCATACCTATCAGTTCCCTTCCATAATGGGGAAAACATTTCCCCTCATCTGTTTTATTGGAATCAAATTGTGTGAAATGAAGGTAACGAAAACACTCTGCCAGGTAGCTTCCTGTATATGCAGCCAAAATATATAAAAGAGAGACCTTCACTTGAATATTTTTGAGGGGCAAGGAGGACAAAGAATGGAGTTTTTGCCTGAGAAGACAGATGCATGTGCAAGTCAAGCCAATCTTTAGAAGTGAATATTGGTCATTAAAATCACATTATTCATTTACTTGGCAAACAACTTTAAACATAAAGATACCCACAAAATTTTCACCTTAAATCGAATATACTTTAGAAGGTCAAATTCTTTAGCATACATCCTGAAATACTCCAGGACCTGGGCATTATGCATGAAGTTAGGATAATGATCTGGGATTGGATAGTCACTGAAGCACATCATCTCTTTAGAAGTATTGATGATCACTGATTTGTAAATACTGGCCCTTCCTTCTTCAGCATTTTCCTGCAATAAATAGAAAGTATGCTTAGAAACTTGAGAATCATCTTTATGATTTGTAACTGTGAAAAAGTTTTCTGAAAGAAGAGTCAATTAAATCACACACACACACACACACACACACACACACACACACACACATCTTCCAGTATTTGTGCCCTTATATAGTCTTTCCCCTTGAATCTCGTTTGTCTTTTATGACTTGCTTTTGACCAACAGCATATAGTTGAAATGACACTGAATGACTTCCAAGGCCAAGTCATAAGTAGCCTGGGTCTCCGAAAGCTCGCTCTGGTAGAAGCTAGCAGCCGTATGAGAGATCCAACTACCATGAGACCACCATAGCATGAGGAAGTCCAACCTCACCACATGAAGAGAAGGTCTGGGAGAGAAAATATGTGGCTAGTCCCCAGAAATTCTACCTACTCCAGCTGAGGTTCTAAACATGTGAACAGAGAGTTACTAACACTGAGGAACAGTCTTTTAAATGAGTAACAGGCAAAATGGGAACACATACTGGAAAGAGTGTAACAGTTTCCATATACTGGAAAAAGCGTAACATCTCCATTGTTTTCTGGAGAGCAGTGTTAAAATGTATATCAAACTCCTTGCAATTTACCTAGTCTTTAAAAAAAAATATTCAGCATCACTGAGGAAGATTTATGTTTAAGGTGTTAATACCAGCATTATTCATAATATGAAAGGAAACAAGCTGAATGCCCAACAAAATAACTGAAATTTGAGAACCACAGCTATAGATCCTTACTCCCAAAGTGTGGTCTGTATACCAGCAACAGGGGCTTCACTTGCGAGATTGTTAGTTAGAAATGCAGACTCTGAGGCCGCAACTCAGACCTACTAAATCAGAATCTGCATCTTAGCAAAATATTCAAGTGATTCAGATGCTATTGCAAACTGAGATGCACTTCATTAGATGACATTAATCCCTAATTCAGTGTTCTTTCCCCTACAAGAAACTTCTTTGCTTCCTCAAAAACTTCCTATTGAGGCCAGGCATGGTGGTTTACTTGTGTAATCCCAGCACTTTGGGAGGCTGAGGCTGGCGGATCACCTGAGATCCGCAGTTTGAGACCAGCCTGACCAACATGGAGAAACCCCATCTCTACTAAAAATACAAAATTAGCCGGACATAGTGGCACATGCCTATAATCCCAACTACTTGGGAGGCTGAGGCAGGAGAATCGCTTGAACCTGGGAGGTGGATTGTGGTGATCTGAGATTGTGCCATTGCACTCCAGCCTGGGCAACAAGAGCGAAACTCCATCTCAAAAAGAAACAAAACAAAACAAAACTTCCTGTTAACTACCCATGGCGCTGTTGTGTTGATCACATAAAGTAATGCAACGATGCCATCTACCCAGCCTGTTATTCTGTCATGGAGACTTCACAAATGAGTTTTCAGATTTTTAGATTTTCAAAAATAGTTTTGATTATGGAAAATCACCTTAATCAATTTGGATTTCCTCCCTTTTTATTCTAGAAATGAACAGATATTGAGATATTGAGTATTATGAAACATAAATAGCCACAAAGGAGAGCATTTGTTGCCTTTGTCCATTTTTAGGGTTGTTTTTCTCCTCTGCCCCATGATCCAAAGTCTCATTCCTTTAACTGCTGATCACATTTTCACAAGTCTCCTTCGAAGTCTTTTCTTCTAATCTAGTCTACCTATTTCAACCAAAGTGTTCTCTCTGAGGTGTGGCTGGACTATATCTCTGCCCTAATTAAGATTTTAAATGTTGCCCTATTTCCTGTAGAATAAAGTTTCTATTTCTCAGATTAAGATTCAAAGACCTCCATAACGTTTTGTAGTATATTCCTTATCATCCCAACTCGATTGTAAGCCCCTTGAATTGTACTCCTGGTTTTCCCCACAGCATACAAAATGATAAATAACACTCAATAAAAGTTTATTGGATGCATATCAAATTGTATTGAGAAAGGGATATATAAAATTAGATGTAAGTTCACAAAATGCATAACAAAACTAATAAAATACATCAACACTTATCTCAAAAAGAGTTCAATAAGATATATGTATCTCACTCCCAAAATGTTGTCCTAAGAAAAATTGCAAAATAATATAAAGTCAAATGCATAAAGATATGTTTTTATATTACTTAAATAGCAATTAATTAGAAACAATGTTAAATGTTCCCAAAATAGATGAATGGTTTAGTAAGTTATAGTATCTCAACATGCAAAGTTTATCTCCCACACCACTCCACGGGTATTCTGATAAATACAAAGTAGATCCTGCCACTCTACTGCTTAATGACTTCTCTTCATTCCAGAAAATAAAATTTCTTATTTTGAAATTTAGCACATTTCACAATCTAGCCTAGTTTAT